GTTTGTGCTTCATATGTTTTGTGCATTATGCATACATTCACATAGATATACTTTGCAAATAATGCCGTGCATGTTGATCTAATGTTGTTTTTTATCAAGCTATCTTACATGTTGTTAAAGTATACCGTATTGTTTCATATGGTGTTTTTTGGCATTATATGATACTAAACTTACTAAGCCCAAAACCCTAAATCCTAAACCGTATTGTATTAAACGTATTAAGCGTGACACAGGGCATGTGCTGGTACTGCACAGGCTCCATCCACGAGATGCCGGTCGGCCTCTGCAGGCTGCAAACCCTTCTTCTGTAGGGTTTAGGGGTTTAGTTCTTTAGGGGTTTAGGGGTTTAGGGGTTTAGGGGTTTAGGGTTTAGGGTTTAGGGTTTAGAGCCCCTGTTAGTACTGTATGTCCGGCTCGATTTTAGTAGAGTCTGCCAAATCATCTTCTGCTCTATTCCATTCAGTTCTCTTCTGCACTGTCAAATTAGACGATGGTCTACTACATTACGTCTCATAACATTAAATTTCTTAGTATGGTGTGGATATTATATTGTGTTATATGGTGTTGCAGTAGATTATCTTATGTTTGACTGTGTTGTGTGATCTTGTCTTACCTTGTATTTTACTGTATTATGCTTGATTGTATTGTGTTCGGTCATGTTTTAGTTGTTTTCTGTTCTGTTACATTCTATGTTAGATTACAAAATATTTCGTCATAGTGCATAACGAAAAAACAGGTTGCACTACATTCGGGTTATTAAAGTCTGTTTTGTTTTGCAAAGCACCGTTATTGCGTTTTCTGCAAACATGCTCTTGTAGCTACAGTATGCTGTATCACATTTTACTATACTGAGAGGTAATACGTCGTATTATCTTACGGTATATGGCCTTATCTTACTGTCTACTCTGTTTCATTTTATGGCATTGTATTGCATTCGAGCATATTTTGTCAGATATGCTGTATCACAGTGCATTACATTGCAGGACAGTGCGCTAGATTTTATGGTACAGCATGTTTGGATAATGTTGTATTATATCATATCATATTCTATTTTGTGATAAAGCCTTAGATTATATTGTGGGGCCTTCATGTTATTGATCCAGGCCGCCTTGGGCGCAGTTGCTCTGCACAGGCCTCTCGTCGAAGATCTGCAATCCGCAACATGTCTAAGCAGCTCCTGAGATGCGGTGCTCTGAATGGACAGGCAGTGGCAAGCCGCTCCAAGGCCTCCTCTAAGGCGCATCGGGGGATCCTATGCTTGGGGTTTGCCTTTGCCTGGCCAGTTGAGGTTGCACACTATACTGCGGCACCATGCAGAACCGGCATGACCGTCAGGACAGCTCCTCCCACTCGTTTGATACCTTTGTATTCTGCTGTCATCTTGGATCTCTAAGCTTCTTGCGATCTTTTAGTTGCATGTCTGGCTCAAGCACAGCAAGCTGCACAGCCTGTCTACCTTGGTCGACCCGGGGCCAAATGGGCAGATGGCAGCCCAGCCGCGAGACGCGCGGCACGGCGGCTTGGCACAAGACCATGTATAGAGAGAGTGTGTCTCTATATATACCCTAAACCCTAAACCCTAAACCCTAAAGCCAAACCCAAAGCCCTAAACCCATACACATACTAGTTTGTCTGTTCCTCTATTCAGGTCGTGCAAAGATGTCAGAACGTGCAGGCCGGGGCCCGGGCTTCGCAAAAGGGACTTCTGGCGGTGAACGGGTGCTTGGTTTTCGGGTTTTTAGGATTTAAGGTTTTTAGGGTCTAGGCTTCTTTAGGGTTTAGGGTGTTTTAGGGTTCAGGGTTTAGAGTCTCTAGGGTTTAGGGTTTTTTAGGGTTTAGGGTTTAAGCATATTATGGGCTCTAGGGTTAATTCAGGATATTAAGGGTTTTACAAGTAGGGTTTGGCTTTGTTTGTGGGCTTCTAGGGCTTGGGGATTTTAGGGTGTAGGGTTTAGCGTTTTAGGGCTTTAGGGTTGAGCGTTTCTAGGGTTTAGGGTTTTAGGGATTTGGGGTTTACGGGGTTTTGGTGTTTCAGGTTTGAATGTTTTAGGGTTTGAGGTTTTAAGGATTCAAGGTTTGCGGGTTTTTGTGTTTTAGGGTTTAAGGTTCAGGTCACGGTTCGGGGTTTAGGTTTAAGACCCTGCGTCGCAGGAGAACATGCTGCGCAATCTCGAAGAGATGCGTCCTGGACTCGGAGCTTGAGTGCGTAATTAAGGCCCTTTGCATCTGCATCGCAACAATCGAGGTGCATACCGCCAGGGCATTCCTAAACACCTAAACTTTAGACTCCTAGAGGTGCATACCGCCAGGGCATTGACGAGGCTGGCGAGGGTGCGGCGTCTGCGCGGGTTTCCTTCGCCTTTGGTCTCAGGTCGTCGAAAGAAGGAAAACCCAAGCCCGGCGCTTCATGGAAGAGTTCAAGTGCTCTGGCAAGAATAGCCGTCTAGATGACAGACTAGTGACTAGAATCAGATGATGATAGAGGTGATGAACATTGATGAATGCTTGGTGTCATGGAGCTCTGGGAGGGATGTTTGCTCCTACTGCATGAAATCGCAGCCTGACGTCGCAAAGGCCAAATCCTGACACCATTGCACTCAGTGAACTCAAGCCAGTCCGGCCCTTTGCGTGAGCTGCCATGACGGCGAGTGCGGCAATCATAGTTCGTCATGGCCATTTGATGCCCTTCTTTACGCTTGTGTGAGTCTCACTAAAGAAGTTTGTTTGTATTACATATCCGAACCCGTGTTTTGTTGCAGTAGTTGCTTTATGTTGGCTTTTGTCGTCTACGCGCGAACCCAGGAGGCCAGTGAGTGAGTGAACCCCGGCCCCCGGCACAACAGCCAAAAATAACGCGCCCCCGCAACGACATCACAGCAAAAACCAACACTCTTACCATTACATATATCTGGTACCAGCCTGGAAGCTTGTTCTTATCGGTGTGGCGATTGCCAGCCCAAGGCCCGACATTTGGACCCCGCCGGGCTCTCACCGAGACACCTCGCAGATTTCGGAGCAGAAGGCCCTCCACCCGAAACGAGGTGCAACCTCGGCCGAAGGAGTTTCAGAGCATGAAGGACGGCTCCGTTGCTGCTTTCTGGGGGTTTTCTGGGAGGAAGACAGCGCCCGGCAGGATCGTATTTCGGCTATGGAGGACAACGCGGAGAGCAACAATGAGGCCTGAAGTTCACACTCCGCGCGGCAGCTTCCGTAAACCTGATTGAAGCTGAGGCCCTAGGTGATCACAGGAAGGTGCTAGACTGCATCCTGGCAGTGAGACAGGCGCGCGGTGTTGTTCACAGAAGTTCTGGATTTCTTGCCGGCTTTTTTTGGAAAGGCGGCTGAGCAGTCGAGGGGCCTGCAGAAGGTCTCGGGCAGCGAGGCCATCATCTCCTGGATCGCTGTTCCAACTGCTGTCCGTCAATTCAGATCCGTTTCGCCGGAGATTTTCCGCAGGCACTGAAGAATGCAGCAAACCAGGTTGTGGAGGAGGCAGCGTCTTTGCGTTCTCCAGAACCGACTACAGGAGCTACTCGTGTCCTGCCCAGGAAGCCGAACCAGAAGGCATTGGTGTCAACGAGAAATGCCGCCACTCGACCAGAAATGGCCTGTGCACCCCAACCACGGCCTTGCTGCTGCCTCGGAAGAATCTCTGAATCCAGGTGAGATCCAGCGGAACTCTCGCTGGATGGGTGGTCCCAGCTTGAATTGCCAAGCCCTTCCTTCCTCGAAACCGCGCAGCAAACTTCATTTTATGCTACAGAAATGGTAAGGACAAGTCCCTAAACCCTGAACCGTTCATAAACGTTCAGGCCCCTCTAGTCAGCCCGGGTTCGTGTCAGGGACGGCCATGCAGAAGGCCGCGGTGTCCAAGGCCAGGGTCGATGATGCCAAGGACCGACGGGTTTTGCAAAACCCTAAGCCCCATTACCCTAAACCCTAAGTCCTAAGCCCCTAAACTGCTGGGTTTAGGGTTTAGCCCTATACCCTAAGCCCAAAGTCCTAAACCCTAAACTGCTGGGTTTAGGGCCTTGGCTCCTTCAAGGCCCCGAAGGGTTTGCTATCATCGGATTGCCTTGCAGGACAAGCGTCGGCAGCAAGACATGGACCTGAGGTGCAGCTATGTGTGTGTGTGTGTGTGTATATATATATGTATGTCTATATGTACATACATACATCTCGCTCTCTCTCTCTCTCTCTCTCTCTCTCTGTCTCTCTCTCTGTCTCTAGTTCTACCTCTCCTCGCGCAAGGTTGACACAGCCCGATCTGTGGCTCCGATTTACCCGCATACAAATTCGCATACAAGGGATTTCCTGGCTAAGTTGAACTCGCACGGAAACCGCCACAGCTTCAACCTCTTGAATCCCAGAAAGCAAAGCCCTGCAGCCTGAACTGCGTGAATTACTGGTCTCGTGTTCGTACCCTTTCTGCGACTGCAGTGGCACAACGAATTTTGTTGTTGTCACCCAGTCGTCGCAGCCGCAGGGCAGAAGCCGAAGCTGGAAGCCAAGCGGCAACGGAGGATGCCTCCCTGAGGCTCGACCTACCCATAGGCTCCTAAGTCGTTCCTTTTTGTGGTTTATGTTTAGAATCCTATAAGGTAACCCCAGAAAGGAACTACTTAGGAGCCTATGGGTAAACCCTAAATGCCCCGGGTCGGGTGAGTTTCTGGCGCAGATCGTGCTAGGCCTCAGTCTGCGGGCATCTCCAAGCCCGGGATGGCGCAGCTGGGAGATCCGAAAAGGCCCATCTTTAAGACTTTAGGGTGTAGTGGTTTTAGAGGTTTTGGGGTTTCGGAGTGCTCCTTGTAGGGCATCACCACATCGCCTTCTTCCGAGAAGTTTCCTCTTGCAAGGGGTGGCCATCGTCCAGTGTCTGCTTCGACCACCTGGCTCCTCGGCCTCTTCCAGTCGGTATCTACCAGACCTGCATTGACTGAGCTACTCGCATTTTGAAGGCCATCCCGCCCGGCCTCCTCGATGTCGCAGGGCGCCCAAGA